GTCCACTTTTACTATTTGTTCTCGACCCGTGCGCTTGCGGCATAGAATCGACGCGAACAAGTTTTTGCTACGATGAAAAATAGGTGACACAATGTAAAATGCTAAATTACAATAGTGATGAAGGCAACTGCAGTGTGTAACATAATTTTACAAAATATAAGTCATTGTGTTATAAAATTTATTTTAAAAAAAATGTTTATTAGGAACACAAATTCACCTATGTAGACGAGCATGGCATCATTAGGAGTAATGTTTAATAACAATCTTGAAGGCATCAATTAAATTATATATACAGTTAACTACAAGAAATTATGATCCATTTTTAATGATGAAAGGTAAATTAATATGCATTATTAGTGGGCAAATGACAAAAGCAACACTAATTTCAGCTATGTTAAAAGATTGTTGTTTCAAACACTAATGTTCATGTTGTAAGAAATGGTGTATCCCCTTCCTTCGAAAAGAAATTGACAAAAGCAAAATTTCCCCAGTCACGCTCAGCCTTCTCAGAAGCAACTGAGCAAGCCCACTATCTTGGCGGGAAACAGAGAACCAGAGAGAAAACAGTATAATGGGATCGGAGGCGTCACTGCCGAAATGGGCATCGAAGCCTTGCATAATGGGCATTGATGAAGCCGGTCGTGGTCCTGTTTTAGGTAGTAATGCCTTCACACGCACAAATTCAATTCTTGATTGCAGATTTACATCTGTTACTCCCCATTTTTTTTTTAATAAAAATAATTTTTTTACAGGACCAATGTTCTATGGGTGCTTGTACTGTCCAAGCTCCTACCAGAAAACTCTATCTACACTCAACTTTGCAGGTACAAGCTTTAAGCCTTGTTTTATATTTCCTCTTTTACCATTTATGTAATTGGGGTTTTTTAGCGTTTATCAATTTTTTTGAAGATGATATGCTTGGTTTTTTAATATAATTACAAGGAAGTCAATTACTGAAATGTTTAGAATTAATATAACAATGTAAATAAACAGAACGCAAAGGAGGAAAATATTAAAATCAAGGAGGTAATAAATTAATGAATAAGAGGAGAACTGAGGTTAGATCCAAACAAATCTGCTGCTCTTCTTGACTGGATTGAAGTTCAAATTTGAAATAGAATATACACACTCCAAAAGATAGATAAATTAGAAGAATATTTGTGTGAAGGATAGGAAAGGAAAGGAAAGACGAGAAG